CAGGCTCCACCCCCAAAATCTCCAGGTATTTCCCAACCCAGAGCTGGCAACCCTAGTATCCCCTCTTGTGTTTCCTCTTGTGCAACCAATTTCTGGGCACTTATCATACAGAATGAGGAAAGCACTAGATGTTGCCCCAGATTTTGTGCAAGCAGAACTGTGCTGTCTGTCTATGTTTCTGCTGATGCATCTAAGAACATAAGAACATAAGAGAAGCCAATGTTGGATCAGGCCAATGGCTCAGCCAGTCCAACACTCTGTCACACAGTGGCCAAAACCCAGGTGCCATAAAGTGGAGGAAGGTTCCTTAGGGCAGAAGAAGGCTCTCTGAAGTTCCTCTAGCCTAATCCCATTTGGGTGGTACGGCAGCACAGAAAATTATAAATAAATAAATAAATAAATAAATAAATAAAGCTAGGGTACATGCCAGTATGTGTGAGGAATTTGGTATCTTAGATCTTTAACCTGTCCATTACATATATTCACTCTACCATCATAGTCCCCAGTGAAAGATTATATCATTTCCCAACCATTCCTTGGTTATACTGCATAGATCAGAGATGCAAACATAAATCTTTGGTCAAATACCATCATATTTCCCAAGGGCCGTTGGTGTTCATATCCAAAAGCAATGGGTTGAATCCAACTAGCTTTTCCACCAGTGAAAAAGGGAAGAGCGAGGACGTACCATCGATTTATACAGGGTCATTATGATACTGGCTGATTTGTTTTCAATTCCCTTCCTAATAATCCCCAGCACAGCGTTGGCCTTTTTAATTGCAGTCACACACTGTCTTGACATTTTCATTGAGTTATCTACTACGACTCCAAGATCTCTCTCTTGGTCAGTTTCTGCCAGTTCAGACCCCATCAACGTGTATTTATAGTTAGGATTTTTTGCTCCAATGTGCATCACTTTGACCTTGGCCACATTGAACCAAGGATCCAAGCCAACATTTTCTAATGTGAAAGGCTAAGAAAAGTGGAGAAGTTGATCCATGGCGTTATAGGTGCCAGCTGATCAGTGCTGTGCACATCTAGCCTTTGCTGCAAACTGGCACAGCTGGTTTCCCCTGAACTTGAATGTTCTTGAGTGTGCTTCCACAGTAGCTGTGTGGCTTAAGTTTTGTGCATCTGTATGCACCCGTAAACATTCTTTATTTTATTATTAATTCAGATTCCTAACTGTTATAAAAGTGCCTGTATGTGATAATTTAATGTTTGAAACACACACCTTTGAATGGTGTGTGTTCCTGGTTAAACATCTGGCCCTTGGCCAATTGTGCATTTGGAAGAAAAGTGTTTTGCTAATAGAGAAATAAGCTACTGCTCAGCCCCTACTGCTCTATTAATTTCATGCTGACCGATTGATGGACCTTGGAACAAAGAAAAAAAAATCCCTGCTTGTCTGGGGGAAAAAACAAACACTTTGCCTGACTAGTCCTGCTTGGAAATCTAGCTCTTCCTATGGACATTGATCTGATGGTCTACCACAGGACCCAGGATAATCTGCAGGCTCCCTACTGGCCAGGAAGCACCCCCTGGCCATTTTGAGTCAGAAGAGTGATGTGGGGAGAGACAGAAATCCTTTATGTCCATGTAAAGGTAAAAGGTAAAGGTTCCCTTGCTCGAAAGCCAGTCGAGTCCGACTCTAGGGTTGCGGTGCTCATCTCTGTTTCAAAGCCGAAGAGCCAGCGCTGTCCGAAGACGTTTCCGTGGTCATGTGGCCGGCATGACTAAACACCAAGGCGCACGGAACGCTGTTACCTTCCCACCGAAGTGGTACCTATTTATCTACTTGCAATTTCTTGCTTTCGAACTGCTAGGTTGGTAGGAGCTGGAACTAGAGATGGGAGCTCACTCCGTCATGCGGCACCCGGGTCTCGAACTGCTGAACTACCAACCTTCCACAGCCTGCAGTCCATGTACTGCAGTCCTAATTCAAATGCTGGGCGACTGAGTGCTGATGTGAGACTGGCTGACCAAAAGTCAAGCTGGGGAACCCAGACATGTCCTGCAGGAAACCATAACGTGTAGATTGACCCTTGCAGTCTTACTGTACTGGCTTGCCAGCTTCTGGAATCAGGTTACAGTGGCTGATTTCACACTAGAGCTGCCTCGCTGTTGCGCCGCTGTTTGCCCCGGTTCTATTGGTCAATTTCACACCCGAAGCCGCGCGGCTGATTTTGACCCGCGGCTTCGCCTAATTTCCCCCCCGCAGTTTCGTGATCCTGTTTTTTGAGGATCAACTAAACTGCGGAGGAAATCGGGCGAAGCCGCGGGTCAAAATCAGCCGCGCGGCTTCGGGTGTGAAATGGACCAATAGAACCGGGGCAAACGGTGGCGCAACAGCGAGGCAGCTCTAGTGCGAAATCAGCCAGTGTCTCTTGCTGCTTCTCAAAGATAACAAGGCAAAAGGGGGTCTCCAAAGTCCAGCGTCATTCAATCTGAGGTCAGGTTTTCCAGTAATCAATTAAGGCAGTGTCAGCAGTTCAGCATCTAATGTGCTTGTTGCGTCCACACCCCAAACTGTCTCTCGGGAGACTTTATAGCT